AAAGGCAGCTTAAACCGGAAGCCATCCAGAGGGACAGCGGTTTTAAAGGCATCCCTGTGAAAAGCAGGTTCGCACGGCTCTTTCGGCCAGATTCCGTTTTGCAGTCACTTTGTGGACTGCACTGCACCGGGGAAGGCAAAAGTGAGTGGAGCAAAACTATTTTAAAATGACAGTAAAGTTTAGTTTAAATATCTTGCCCTGCCTTACCAAGCTTTAGGAGAGGGAATTCAGCCATTTAGAACAGGGAAAAAATGCAGATATTCTCCAGAAGGGGAAACACCCCCCCCCCCCAAATACTGTTTGGGGGGGAAGCAGATGTGGCCAGGAAAAGCGGGGTGGCCACGGGGTGTGTAGGCAGCCGTTCCAGTTGAGGACTGTCCCTTCTGAAGGGGGACACGTGGCTTCTCTGCTGCTTCAACTGCAGCCATTCCCAGGCTGAGCTCACATGGCCCAGTGACCCCTACCTTGGTAGCTTCCCAGCTGGGTTACTAAAATGTACAGTATGTGAGTCTGCCCTTGAAGAGGACTGGGAAGCTTTTGTTTGCACAGAAGTCACCTCGGTGGGGTTTGTTCACGTCACTCCAGTGTTAAAAGAATGGGATAGGCTGCCCGTTTGGTTCCAGGCCCGATTCAAAGTGCTTTGCTTTTAAAATTCTCAGTCGTTTGGTTCCCAAATATGTGGAGCAGTGGCTCTCCGAGGCAGCCTGTCCGTGTCTTAATATATTCTGTTCAGCCCCTGTTCCAAGCCCCTTTCTTATCAGAAGCGTGCTATGAAACCGGAACAGAGAGAGTCTTTCAGTGGCAGCAGCCTGGACCACGCCTTGCAGAGAGAAGCCCAGTGCCTGGTTTAGAGTCCTTTCAGCACCTGGTTGCCGAGTTTTTATTTCCCCAGGAGTCACATTTGTAGATCCCTCAGTCCTCCTGGTTTACATTTGCCATCTTTTATTTTGGTCGCCTGATGTTAAGTGTGTAAAGTTTTGAATACTTTATGGTCTGCACTGGTCTGCCTGGTCCTGGATTCTGGTTTGATGAAGGGCCGTTTTGAAAAGTTTTAAATAAAGCAAGGGAAATGAAAATAAAAATTTGGGCTGCTGCTGTCAGGGTCTTGTACCAGGAATTTGTATCAGGGCTGACCCAACGTGTGCCAAAGGACATGATGGTGCCTTCCTCCATTCCCTGTCCAGAAGCCAGCAAGAATTACCATTGAATCCACGTGGGGCAGCAGGCCAATTTGGGGGGTGCAGCACGGCACATCAGGGGGCGGCAGGGTGCTGGGCACCCGGGCCTCACTCAGTCTAACGGTAAGTGGGAAACTGTTGGAGAATGGTGGCTTAGCGTGTTTGCTGTTCCGGGGGAACCCCTAATTCTGGCATTCAGAAAGGCCAGCTCAATGCAGCCAAAGACCCACCGTGCATTCCTAGTACAGTCACTTTCTCAACATGGGAAAAAACTGGAGCGTAGAAAGGTGGGAGAGATAAATGTTTCATCCATCTCGAGGCCTGTCCTTGGGCTTCGGGAAAAGGAGCAGAGACAACCTGTCTGAGATTTGAAAAGCAAAAACAAAACACATTCCAAGGGCTGTGGAAGGATGTGGCTGACTGGAGGAGTTTCTGGTTATCACCAAAAAACAGGAGGATCTTGACCTGGCAGCCTCCAGCAGGGCCAAATGAGAAGGAAAATATTTCCCCTCAAGGACACTGAACTTGGGTATAGAGCGACTTGAGAAAGTTTAAGCAAGCCCGCAGTGGAATTTCATTGGTCCTCTGTGATGTGACTGGAGCATTTTGTTCTTTCTTATCTATGTATTGGTGAAATTGGGTATGGACGTAAAAGCCATCTTTGTGTTCAGATATGTTTTTATATTTTGAATAAAGGAAATGCACTGTGAATGTCCGGTGCATCTTTGTTTTGGTGGGATTGGCTTTGAGAAGATCCCGATAGTATTTTGGAAGTGGATCCATTTAGGTGAGAGCCTGGCATGAAATCCGCTCGCCAGGTTGCACACGCTTCGGCAGCATCAGAAGTTCACGATACCTCATCGCTTGCAGGCTTAGTGGGAGAAACTTGCCATCTCGTGCTGGAGTCCAAGGACTCGAATGTGTGTGTGTGTGTGTGTGTGTGTGTGCGTGCGCGTGCATGCGTGCGTGTAATGCCAGACAGACGGCCAGGGTAGCACTGCTGGGTCATGTGAACCCCCCACGGGGTTAGCGAGTGTTTCCTTTCTCCTTCCCTCCAGCCGGGGATTTATGGCTCTGGCATGGAAAATCACAGACCTCTCAAGATCGGGACTTGGCACCAGGATCCCGAGCTGGAGGGAATTTCCCTTCCTGTTTGCTCTCCAGAATGCTTAATCACCTCTCCAGGGCCCTTTCCAGCCTTTTCAAGTTCTCTGCCTGCCCTGCCTCCCCATGTTACGCTGGCTCGCTCGGGGCTCCTTCCTTGCACAGGGCGGGGAGAGGCAGTGTGGTTCAGTGGTGGCAGGAAGGACATCCAGCAGCCTGGCTGTTTAGCTCCTTGGGTGTCTCTCACTCCTGCGAGAGATGGAGTCAGGAAGCCTGTGTGGGCCGCTTTTGGCTACGTAGCACTGATCCAGCGGTTCCCCCACACGGGACACGCAGGGCCCTGGCTGCCTCGGGGGATGCCAAGTATTTCTGAGCCCTGTTTTCTTTCTATTGGGGAAAAATGTCTCAAATGGTAAGGACCAGATCAGAGGATGCACTCTGCGTCCTGGCCAGGATGGTGGTGGAGGGTGGTGGTGGGAGCTGTGCCCTCACCCACAGGATGTGCTGCCCCGTTCCCCTCTGCCAGCCCTGCAGGAGCGCATGCATGCGGGGCTCCTTGCGAGCCAATGCCACTTGCATGTTCCGGTGCGCAGCCTGAAACTGGCAGACCAGCAGCGCGACTCTGTGTGGGAGCTGAGCTGTGGGAAGGCTTGCACCGTGGGAGCTGAGCTGTGGGAAGGCTTGCACCGAGAGCTGTAGGCAGCCTTGGGGTGTCTTGCCCCGCTGCCTATGCGCTGGGACAGCATGGCGGCATGCCGGGTCTGTGGGAAAGAGCCACGCACATTCACCCCCCTCCCTGCGTTGGGAAAAGTCAGGGGGAATGGGTTGCCCCGCACGACCTTGCGCCTCTGTCCTGGGGGTGCACCAAGGCCGCCCACTTGTGCATCAGCAAAAATGGGGGCCAAAGAGGACACCAAATTGACAAAAAGAGACAAAACAAGTTTGCCTTCTGTGTTTTGTCTCTTTAGATTGTAAGCCTGGCAACTGGGGCTGTCTTCTTCTTGTTTTAATTGAACTGATTTGTGGAGCCACCATGGCAAAGGCCCTGCCCCTTCTGCTCACTAGCCTAACTGCTCTTGGCAGCAGAAAAGTAAGCTCGCCCTCAGCTGATGGTATCGGAGTGTGAGCCGTCTGGTGGGGGAGAAGGCTTGCGTCCAACACACATGCCCATGCTGAAGGTTCTTCGGTGATCCCTTATTCCTTCCCCCTGCCCTCTTTACTCCGGCCTCTGCTCGTTTCCTTTCTTCTGTCATTTCCTTTCCGTTGAATTTCAGACTTTAAACTCCATGTGGTCACAGCCTGTCATTTTGCAATCTGCAAAGCACACTGACTGAGCTGTATAAGAAAATGAATAAGAAACGGGGTGATCGTGGGTGGGTGGCAAGTATGAGGCAGGGTCTTCTTGGTTGTGGCACCACACCTGTAGAACCACCACTACCCATTGAAGGGCATTTCTGTACCAGGAGAAGATGCTGCTTTTCATGCAGGTTGTAACAAGATTAAGACTTTCATCTGGCAGCTGTTTAAAACTGGACTTTTTGCTTCCATTTTTAATCTCAGCTTTAATAGTTGTTGAATCTTTGTGCTTGCAGCGTATAATTACTGTGAAGAAATGAATTGGCTGGCATGTTTCTTGGGAGTTGCCTCAGAGATCACACTTGTGGGGAGAGTGACAAATGGTTTCCAACAGGGTTTTGAAGTTGGGCGGTCAATGGCAAGGAGGAATAGGGGCTTCTGTGGGGTGAGGGATCAAGAGCCACTGGCCGGAGCTTGGCCATCCCACCTTCCCCCCAAGGCAGCCCGGTGGTTCGGCAATCGTCACTAAGAAGGACCTGAGAGGAGTCTTGGCAGGTCCGTCCTCCCCCTCCTCAAGGGGTCCGCCAGGACAAAGTATTTTTATTTATTTATTTATTTAAAGTTTTTATATGCCGTCCCCTTGCTACATAGCCTCGGGACGGCTCACAAAAGTAACAAATAAAACAATAACAATTACAATTAAAACCTGGAAACACACTGGCTGCATCATAAAATATATAAATATTAAACATGATTAAAATACTGTTTGACTAAAAAGGTCTTGGCCTGGCGCCAAAAAACAAATAAAGACGGCGCCAGGTGGACCTCTCTGGGGAGCGCATTCCACCCTGCAAGGAAGGGCAGGCAGGGCTCTCTGCTGGGGCTGGGGGCAGCATCAACTGCCCCGCCCCCCCAAGTCTTGCTTGCAGTTCCCAACCAGGCCCTCACCTTGCAGGAATGCCTCCAGCTGCATGAAAGCTGTTTTGAGGAAGGTGGGGGTTGCCAGGCTATGTCTCTGAGGCCGGTTTTCTTTGAATGCAGGCAGCCTCTCTCCCTCCCACCCGATTGTCAGAACTGTATAAAATTCAGAACTGTTTAAATTAAACCAGTGTGCCTGCACGTTCTTGCTTTCCTTCTCCCTCCTCTTTGCCTTTCCTTCTGTGCCGTGCCTTTCTCGATCGTAAGCCTGGTGGCAAGAGCTGTCGTTGCTGTTGTTTTAATTAAACTCTGAGTTGTGTGGGAACTTTTCCAACTGATGAGCAGGGTATGAATGCTTTAAATACTCAGAAATATAAATATAACAGAGGCCTATCTGGTCCAGTATCCTGTTTTGCCATGCAGCCAACCCCAAGCGGAGTGTGGACATGGCAGAATCCCTCCTGGGGTGCCCTCCTGCAGCATCCTGTGCCTTTTTTCTTTCAGGAACTGGTGCTCGTACAGTGTCACCAGGACTGTTTCCTGCCACGTCCAGAATGGCACCTACCTCCAGAGAGTTTTCCAGAGCTGCCGGTGGCCCATGGGCTGCACTGGAGGCAGGTGAGGAAGCAAGCGAACGTCTCAGATTCCCTTCTTTCTCCCTCATGTTTGGTCTCAGGTCTGGGCATTTGCCCTCAGACGGCCCCTGCCTCATCTCTCCTCCTTTATGGTCTTGGCAGAGGCTGTGATGTGCAGGACATGGCAAAGAGCCAGTCGTGGCCACCAGCCTCCTAAATTCCTTCACCACGGCTGAGTTCCGACAACATGACTGCCCACACTCAAGGATTAAGTGTGGGTTGAACATGGCTGCCACTGAACCAGGGGTTGTTGTCAAAATGTACATTGTTGTATTGTTTCTACCCAGCTGCACTAACAAACCTGGTTTGTTAACCAGGAGCAACCCATAATCCACCACCCAGCAACAAACCATGGTTTCTCTTCATGGGTTGTTTGTGGGTAATTCAGCTGGGTTCGGATAACATGATAACAGCAACCAAAGGTTTGGCACTGACCAGAACTCGATCTGTACGCAAGCCTTGGAAAGGCGCCCTGGATGCATTGTGGGGGAATTAACATGGAGGACGCACTGCTGCAGGCTTCTGTGCTGCTGCCCCCAGTCTCCATGGGGGGAGGGGGATTTGCAGTTGGGAGAGGGTCTCCATCATCTGGGCAGTGGGGGGATTGGTGCAGCTACAGGCCCTGCTTTTACCGGGGTTGCCGAGGACCTTCTGGTTCCCATGGCAACGGAGGAACAAGTACTTTGGAAGTTTGCTCCCTCCCCACCCCAGGCATAAGAGGAGGCTCCTGGCACACCGCTTCCCTCTGCCCCCGCTTCCCGCTTCCCAAACACTTCACACACGTGGGGTGCAATTACTCCTCGGTTGCCAAGGAAACCACGGCCAGGCAACGGTACCCAAGCCCCCCCCCCCCGAACTTCTCCTGCTGCACATCAGAGCGCGAGGCTGGCAGGCGGGTTAGAAAGGCGACCTATTTATACCCTGCCTTTTTCTCTCCTGCAGGGAAGCCAAGGCAGCTCACAAAGGCTTCCTCTCCCGTTTATCCTCGCGACGACCCTGTGAGGGAGGGTCGGCTGAGAGTCAGGGAGTTGTCAGAGGCGCCCGTGAGCCTCATGGCCACGGGAAAGAAACCTGGACCTCCCCGGCCAGGACCTAGCCCACTGCACCACACTGGCTGCCAGGAATGTCTGGAAAAACTTTCTACCCCGCTACCACTCTTCTCTAGAAATGGAAAGTTTTCCCTGCCCAAAGCTCGTCTCAGAGGGATTCTGAAATAGCGTGAGGTCTTCCATGGTGGCTTTCCCACAGCGGGCTGGGTGTGCAGACCCGAGACAAAGGACCTCCAGAGGTTGCCTGGACTGCCCCTGGAATCTCACTGGGATGCTGGCGAGGGGGTGCCCCCTCTGCCTCACCTGAGGGCAGCAGGAGGGCCCAGGCCCACCTTCTCAACACCCTCCAGGTGTGTGGGACTAAAATTCCTAGCATCCCCATCCAGCGCAGCAAGGCTGCTTTCGGAGGCGCAGGAGTGTCTCTGCGGCATACAGGGGTCTGTGCTTCATGGAGGGGGGTGCTCTGCCCCCGGATCCTTGCCGCCCCCTGCCTGACACTGAGTCTGGCCCTGCAGATTGGAAATGGTATCGGCACATTTCTGCCACCCTGCTTCATCCTCGGAAGCCGCCACCCACCCAGCCCCCAGCCCCTTTCCTTATCTCTGTGGGAGCGACTGCGAGTGCCCTCAGGAAAGCTCCATCTCCCATGGTCCCCTGTGCAGGGTGATGGTCAGGAGCGGTGGGGAGGCGAAGAGCGCAGGTCTGGGACCTGGCAGTCCACTCAGCTATAGAGCCAACTGGGTGACTCTCGGCCCAGCCTACCTCACAGGGTTGTTGTGGTGGGATATGATGGAGAGGAGGAGAATGTTGTCAGCCACTTTGAGTTCTTTGTAAGAAAAAAAGGTGGGATATAAATGAAACCAATAAATAGAGATGGTTTTTTGAGCCCCCAACTTTTCCTGCACGTGGAGCGTATGAAAGCCAATATCAATCATGCCTGCAAGAAAGCGACCCGAGCTGCATACAATGCCGTGAACATAGCTGGGTCCGTTTCTGGAAGGAGGACCGCAGCTGTTCATTCTGGGCGGCCTTCCTGAAATGGGTGGCAGCATGGAAGAAACATTTCGGATGTTGTCTGAAGGGTGTGTTGATACATAACTTCTTTCTGAGATGGAAAAGATGCACACAAACATTTAGGTGCCTGCGAAGCCGAGCCGTTTTCCTTTTGCCAGTGCTGTACTCCCACGGGGCTTTCCAGCCCTTTGGCTCTGCATGACACCTCACTCCACTTTGGTGCCCGTCACAGAATCCCAGGATAGCAGAGTTGGAAGGGGCCCTGAAGGCCATCAGTCCAACCCCCTGCTGTTGCAGGACACCAGGTGACACCATCCCGCTCAGAGGGCTGCCCAATTTCTCCTTGAATGTCTCCAGTGTGGAAGAGCCCACCGCCTACCTAAGCAAATGGTTACTTTGTCATACCGCTCTAATAGTGAGGAAATCCCCCCATCCCTTCTGAACTTCCCTTCACAGCCTCACACTCCCCTTCCCTTCCCTTCCCTTCCCTTCCCTTCCCTTCCCTTCCCTTCCCACTGGTTCCCCATGCTAAATGCTCCTGCAGTTCTGATCTCCTGAATTACTTATTTCTGCTTTCCTCCCCTCCAGCTATAGAACAATCGTCAGACCAACCTACAAGCAGGCATACAAAACTGTCACAGCTCTGGAGTGGAAATGTTGCCCAGGACACACAGGGGCAAACTGCGAGGCAGGTATGGGGCGGCAAATGGAGGCAGGGGCACTGCGGAGGGGTCCATGGTGCTAGTTGCTACTGCCACAGGGTGGGCAGGAAAGGGGCAGAGCAGTTGTATTTTGCTGGGGATGCTGTGTTTGGAATGTGTTGGTACATATTCCTCACATCTCACAAGTGCATAATGGTGGTGTTGTTTATATGGCATTTATACAGTTCATGGTGCTTTGTGGAGATGCAGAAACAAAGAACAGGTCCCTGCCCCAAGGAGATTACACTCTAACAATGGGGAGAGAGAATGGAAGGACAGGTGAGGTGAGGTGAGGTGGGTCTACCTAGTGCCACCTGTCGCCTGACTTTCAGAGACACTGTGCCACACTCCCTTTTCAGTGCTATGCAAGAAAACCTCTGGCTTTATTTCAGCGGAAAAAGCAAATTTTCTGGTCGCTTTAGTTACTATGGGCCAGAGTCAGTGGAATCTGAGAATATGCATCATTAAGCATCATGTCCAGTGATGAGGAGTTTGAGTTGGCTTGTATGTCCCCTCGGTCCAGCAGTTCACCTCACTGCAGAGGTAACACAACTTGGCTTGGAAATTAAAGATGATGTGAACAGATCCGGTGTAAAAAGAGAGCACACTTTTTACATTGTGTCAGTCTGCCTTTAAAAAATTAATGTGTATGATGTGATGAGAGCTGAATGAGGAGAAGCTGGGACATGCCTAGATCCCAGATTCTGAATGGCAACTTTTTCTGTGGCAGAGGAAGTTCAATGTCCGTGTTGTTTCGGTTTAAGGAAGCAGTGACTCAGGGTGGGAGCCAGAACGATGCACTCATCCCCTCCCCTCCCCTCCCTTCCCATGCCCTACCCTCAAAGCCAGGAAGGATACAAGGCTGGCCAGGGAGTCCCAGCTGGTGAGGCCAGTCGGGCGCTGGGTGCGCACAGTCCTCCTGGCGAAAACGGGAGAAAGACAGAGCCAAAACCCAAAAGGGAGGCAGAATTGTAGAATCATAGAAGAATAGAGTTGGAATAGGCCATGAAGGCCATCGAGTCCACCCCCTGCTGTTGCAGGACACCAGTTACACCATCCCACTCAGATGGCTGCCCAGTTTCTCCTTGAATGTCTCTAGTGTGGGAGTGCCCCCCACCTCTCCAGGCAGCTGGTCCCACTGTTGTATTGCTCCGACAGTGAGGAAGCTTTTCCTGATGCCCAGACTGATTCTGGATTGTTGCAACTTGAATGGATTATTCTGTGTCCTACACTCTGGCATCAGCCAGAAGAGACCTTGACCTTCCTCTTTGTGACAGCCTTTGAGGTACTTCTAGAGGGAGCTCATGTCCCCCCTCAGTCTTCTCTTCTCAAGGCTGAACACACCCAGTTCTCTCAGTCTCTCCTCCAGGGCAGTGTTTCCAAACCCCGGATCATTTTTGTTGCCCTCCGCTGGACCCTTTTAATTTACCTGCAGAACCGAAGGCTCGCGTGAGGCCTCTGTAGGGACAAGTGGATGTTGTCCTCTGAGGCCCGGGGACACCCACCCCGTGCCCAGACGCGTGTGTTGGCCGCGTGAGATTCCTTGGTGACTGGGGTTCAGAAGCACTCGTGCTGTTAGCAGAGCCTGCCAAAACACGTTCCCAGACTACACATTGATGCAGTGGTATCGGTGCCAGGTTTGGAAGGCGCTTGGGCCTGCCCCCCCCCCCATGAGCCTGCCTTCCCCCCACCAGGCTTGCCATCCGCTCTTCCCCCTTTTCTCGTCCTGGGTACCACTTGCTTGCTCGGCAGGCAGAGAGGCGGCAGCACCTGCTCTGCCTTCTCTCCCTCTCCATAGTCGGTGTCAGGATGAGCAGCAGATGAAGGTGCTGGTTGCAGTGGAGGAAAGGAAGAACAACTTCTGGGGGGCCCCCGCTTGGGACTGGGCCCCCAGTGGGCACCCACAATCTCTCTTTTTGACAGAGCCCCACAGAGGCCTCCCGAATCCTAAGCTGTAAAGGTTGCCAAAGGGGATGTGGATCACACAGCTCTTCTTGGCCTTCTTCTAAAGAGCAAGTTTCTAGCCCTCAAGGTTGCAAATATATGCTTGAAAGTTCTGGGTCCTATCTGCTGAAGTCCCACAGACCTGGCATGGCTGTGAATGTGGTGAGGACCAAGAGCTGATTCTTCCTGGCCTTGACTGGACCTCTGCAGCGGTCACTGAGAGTCCCCTTTTGAGGAAGAAGCAAAGAACTTGTCGCGATGACCTTGCAGCTTCGTCCTCGAAAGCCCTGTGAGGTTGCTTTCCTCCCTCCTTGTCCAGCAGAAGAAAGAGAGCAAGCATGGCCAAGGGTGCAAGAAGGTTTTGCTCACTCTGCATGTTGAAGTCGGCCGCCCGTATATCCCCAGCTAATGTGCAGATTGAAGCGCAGTTATCAGTTGTGCAGGCCGGGAGTATTCCTTGCACTTCCCTGAATTGGCAAAAGCAAAAATAAAATGCACCACACTGTTTATTTTAAGATAAAATAGTTTAGAAATATGCACTTCGAGAGAAAATCCTTTCTAAAATGTGTATTCAGTGATATCATACATTCCAAAATACATATTTTAAATATTAATGTTCATGTAGATTACAAAATCGAGATTAGTGTGAAAGTGAGAAGTGAATTGCTTTAAGAGTATCCACCTGAAAAACTGACAGGAACTGCAAGCTGACTGGTTGGTCTGTCCATCCCTAAACATGGAATGATGGCTTGTGATAAGATGCAAGCAACTGCTTTTGCTTTGTATAATGTGTGGAGGCTGCAGAATTCTGCCTTAGAAAAGAACGGGAACATCTGGTGTGTGTGCGCGCGTGCGTGTGTGTGTGTGTGAAGTGTTTAATGCATGGGCAGAGAAGCTGCAGCTCTACCGAAGTTCTACCTCCTCCTCGCATTCCACCAATCCTGGCAATGCCTTTCCAGAACGGAATGGCGTGCCCGGCAAGTGACTCGCTCCGTGGCCAGCTGGTGCCAGGGGCGCTGCTAGGCTTGGACCGGTGGGGTCCTGGCCCTGAATCGATTTATTCTATGGCAGCCCGAGTGTCCACTGCTGCTAATGGATCTTTTTCTTGGCTGGACTGAGGTGCAGGGGGGCGATTTCTGGGGCTCTTCCTATCCCACTTGCTGTGGCACATCCCCTGGAAGTCTTCCCTGCATTAATTACTGTCTAAAAAGTCCAGTGGTATGGGATGGTCTGAATCAGGTTGCAAATTAGTTGAAGACTTACTTCATTGAGATGATTTGGATGAAAAATTAAAGGGCTGGTTTGCTTCTTGTGAAACTTAAGCCCTTGTAATTATTTGCAAATTTGCATAGATGGGTATCATTGATCACCTGCAGATTTTCTGCAAAGCCATGTCAAAGGCCCTGGGTCCCAAATCTTTTACCTGTCCAGCATTGCCCCTGGGCAAGATGCTGTCGGCGGCATAACATTTTCTTTGAGTTTCCCTTTTAATTTTGTTTGCAAAGGTTGCAAAGGCTTTGCGAGGGGGAGGGCAAACCAGCCGTGTCAGGGAATGGTGTGTGTGGGGGGAGCTGCTTGCTGCTTGGCAGTGGGGCGGACGTCCCTGGCCAAGGGGGCCGCTGGGCTGGACTCCATGCAGGGGGAGAGCAGAGCAGAGCAGAGGGCTCGCGGGAGGCTGCACACATAATAGGAGGCAGCCAGCCAGGAAGTCAGAAACGATTCGTAATAAAAAAGGACACCTGGTGTGAAATCCCATTATTGTGAAATCGTACCCCGTAGATGGATACTGCCTGTATTGTGCTTGGCAGGACACAGTGGGAAATGTGAGAGGACTTTGGCCGCAGCCGAGGGGCTGGTGTGGGGTGAGTGTGGGGTGGGAGAGAGAGGGAGAAGTGGGGCAGCTTGCATGGGGAAAGGTGGAGGGAGGTGTTGGCGGGAGAGAAGCAGGAGGAGAGATTAACCGAAAGAGCTGGGTCAAGAGTGCTTTTTCATGCATGAAGCCAAAATTCCCCCTCCTGCGCTGACTTTGGCCACGTCAGTGCTGCACGGGAGGTGGAAGGGAGACGCTTCCAAAGGAGCGTCTTCTATGGCAGCCTTCCCCAATCGGCATCCTTCTGATGGTGCACTGCAGTCCTGCTGTCTGGGGATGATGGGGGCAGTAGTCCAGCATACTTGGGGGCTGCTGCACCGGGGAAAGCTGTTCTCCCCAACGTGCATTTTTCTGCTCTTGGTGAACTCTTCCCATCCGCGTTCGTGACATTCCTTCCCAGCCGTCCCGCACGGGAGAAGCAGAGCAAACCGCCGTGGCAGAAGGGAAGTTTGGACGCTCAGCACTGGTGCGTGAGGCACGGCAGATGTGACTGTCCTGATCTGCAAAACAGTCCCTTGGGGGTCCTAGTTAGGGTTTGGTTGCTTGTGTGGATGGTTTGGGATTGAGGACAGCCATGGGAAAAGACCCAGTGCAACAGTGTGCAGGCCGGATGCTTCCCAACGAATTTAGGCGTCCGCTTTGGGATGCTGCAGTGTGATGTTTCGGTTTGAGACATTTTATAAGGAATAATAATGGAAAAGCCTCCTTCATTTAAGGGTTCTTTGAAATGCATTGGGAACCCAGCCAAGGTGTGCAGCTCTCTTTGGGTTTGACAGATCCTGCCCCGGGGCAGCCTGGGGGTGGAGTGGATTACAGGCGCCATTGAGAGCCTGGCATCCAGTGGGGGGGGGGGTCAAAGCTGGGCCTAGACCTCTGGGTCATGATTCACCAATTGGAAGCCCCTCCACTCATTCCAGGGAGATTTGCACAATGAGAGTTGCCTGGCAGAGGGTTCCCCGTGCTGATTTATGGCCCCAGATATCTTGCCGCCTGTGGTGAAAAACAATTCCATGTGAAGCCAACTAGACTGGAAGGCTAATCTTTCTGCAAAGCTGGCACTGGGAGAGCATCCCGACTGGGCAGGTCTCGGGGGTGCTGGCTGGGCTGCGTGGCACGTACAGCTCTTTCCCCCGAGGCTGCCTCGCTGCTCTGCCTCGTGCGGCCAGCCGAAGGCCAC